AACGTGAAAATATAATGTGTTTAGAAAATGTATGTATGTATGTCGGAATGGGTATGTCGATTTTTCGGAAATGTTTTATAAATCCCCCCGAAAAAAGGACTAAAGTTTGAGCTAAAAATCTGAAATTTTGTCGGATAATTGGTATTACTTTGAAGCATTTGTGCACGCAAGTTCAGCTTAATCAGCCCAGTAGTTTCAGAGATATAACAATTTCTCAAAAATCTTTTTTCCTTAATATCTCATAAACTACGCGACCGAATCGAAGTTTTTTGATGGGAAAGTATTCCTTACGATAATATCTATCGAATTAAATCAAAATATTGCTACGTAACTAGGGTCAGTTTAGTAATAATCAGCATTTCTCATTTTTACTAGGAAATCGTTGTGGATACGATAACTCGCTGAAAATTTAAGATAGGAAGTTGAAATTTGGTAGGATTGTAGCTCTTATGATACTACAGAACTGTATTATTCACGAGCTGAATCGGATAAGTAGTTTAGAAGATATTCAACTTTTTGTGAAAAACTGTTATGCTTAATATCTCCTAAACTACTGGGCCGATTCACTTTTTGTTTCAAAATGTTTGTCACGATATCTTCTATCTAGATCAATCAAAATATGTATAGCCGCCCATACAAAGTTTTCGAGATATCAGCGTTTTTCTAATTTTTTCATTTTAAAGTTAATGTGGTGTCCATAATACGCGTCAAGCTTGGTCTAGACATCTGAGATTCTGGGTACTAATTTGTATTATGAGCCCACAGTCATGTATAAAATTTTGGGTCAATCGATTCAGTACATCCGGGCATAGAGCAATTTATCCAAAAATCTTTTTTTCTAAAAAATTACATCGTCATTTTATCAATGATTTTTGTCTCTATATGACTTAAAAAGTCATAATAACAATTTATGGTATTTTGTATTTGATGAAATGTCATAGCTATGACAGAGATAGAGTTCGGTATGGTCTATTTTTTTTTTAAGAAGTGTAAATTTTCTACGATTTTTATTATCAAAAGTACGGTCATTAGTTGATTTTGTTTTACCTCGAAATCGTTGTTCGGTCTCTAGCCGACGCAAAAATCGAAATATCAAGTTGAAATCAAATTTTATTACGCTAAAAACCATTCGGAAGCCCGCCATCAATTTATTGATGGCAAAGAAAGTATAACAAAAAATTAATGAGTGAGATGTTCACTGCCACATGCTGGCTGCCGCCTGCTTGTTTACTTGTTGCGAGGAACAATTTTGGGTTTTCATGAGAAATTTCTATACTAAGCACAGAATGATATTCAATTCTATTCTAACTTTGTTTTCAATAATGCTCCGTCAATAACAGTGACCTAATATTTCATTCACAGCGATATTTTATAAAAATTCAGCAGAAAAAAAATATCTGCGCGTGATTTTGAATATCTTTTTGTTCTATATGGTCATTGTTATCCTCGAACATTCTTCTTCCAGTAAAACCATGATTTATCGGTAATAGAAAAGATCCCTGATATCGTTGACTGACTAGGGAACAGGTGTTGACGAGCAGTCTCCAGGATCATGTTGCCAGCATCTCGTTTTGACCTTGGTCCACTGGTCCTCACTCGATAACAATGATATGCCTCCCTGTATTTCATAATGCGAATAAGGAAACATGCGTCGTTCAGCTGCCAGTTTGATAGCACGCAGATCAGCTCGCGACAATGGTCCCCCTGGATCAAACAACTAAGGCCTTATCTCGCGGTAATTGCTTCCCACCCTTTAAGGAGTTGCATGCCCTGTGTGCTAAAGACGAAATGGGTATGGAAGTGTGTGCCAAACTTTCACACTCTTCATTTCGAAACCAATTTTCTTTGAACTTGATTTTTCGTCTTCCTACAAAACTTCACTATTATTTAGTCCGAATCCAATTTTTAACACTGCTGTTTTTTCATTGTTCAGGATTTTTTTCTCTCCTTCGGTTGGTGTACTCTTCGAATTTGCAGAGGTTTTCATCCCTTGCTCAAAACGCTTATCAACGTCCATCAAATTCTCTGGGCGGATTTCATCACTAACATGAGATGCACTGATTATATTCTTATCCACTCATTCTACTTGGAAATTTCTCAAAATTTTCATCTGCTCACACGATGCAGTTAAGTTCTCAATTTCTTCGATTCGATCAGAGAATGCAGAACAATTTGCATGTATATCAACATTCTTTGCACCCATTTCCTCTGCACTCGCATGCAGGGACTGTTTCATCCTCTATTCTTTTTCAAAATATTTGCCAGTCGAGTCCACAGAATCGATCCCAAAGATACGACGTTTCAAAGCACTGTATTCTTTAAATTAATGGACTGAAACTGCCTATTTGCCCAGCCGAGGTTCCAGGGCCTCTATTTCTCTTGTTGGTCACGACGGGCCTTGTCTCAAATGCATTTGAGTTGATTTCACATTAGCCAGTCTTGCGTTAGCAATATCATCCCACTCTGAGGTTCACCATCCAGCAGTCATTGACTCATATCTTCCCGAGATGTTCATGCGTCTTGATTCTTGATAATTAGTACAATGATCTTCGATCTACATACATGGTGAAAATGTTCAATTCCACGGCAACAGAAGTGAAATTTTGACCTCGGTGCCATTAAAAATTCTTAAATCTCCACAGTAGTGTCACCTCCTTTGGGTTGATTTTCCGAGTGACGACCCTCAACACACCATCACCCAGGTAGGAATTAACAAATAGCCCAAGCTTGGTCCAAGGGCGGCTCAACCTTGGTTAATCACAGGCCAACACAGGCGTCCAGGGCTGGCCCAAGGCTGGCTGAGCACCGAAATGATAACGCTGGGCCATTCTTGGCCACCAAGACTGGACCTGACTCGGTCGCCAGTCGTTAGCCGTGACTAATGTATATTGATTTAAATGATTAAAAAAATCAAAAATAATTTTCATTCGATCATTTTTATGTTTGATTATCTTCTAATCACCCACCCCTAACGCATCTTTCAGTGAAAATCCCTAATTTGTTAATTTAAAATAATCATCCCGACCCGGTTTCGAACCCACGATCCTAACATCACTAGTCCTACGCCTTAACCACTAGTCTACCGCGCAATTCTTATTACTGTTGACTCAAATCGTCCATATATGAATTCTATCTCGATTTCATTCTTCGCTGAATGAGTTTTTAAATATAATCGGAATTAATTTCGATTTCATTATTTATTAATCACCTGGTTATTCGAGGGGTGTGAAAAAATATCTCCCCTCTCCCCCCACCTGAGTATTGTAAATGAACCCAGATTTTCAATTTTTCGTTACACTTGAAGATTCGATCTTTATTATTATTATTCTTATTATTATTCTCTCCTTTCCCCCTTCCTTTGACCTTGAGAATTTTTACAAATACGCCTCCCTCCCCCTCTTCTCAACAGCTGGTTTAAGCTTGGCTCAACCCTGACTCGTCGGGCATTGGTGGACAAGCGTGGTCCATAATTCAGCAAGTTGTTGAGCCAGTCTTCAGCCAGTGGTAGAGCTTGAACCTTGGTTACTACAGTTGGACCAATGTTGGATGAAGGCTGTGCTACCCGATGCTTGGCCGAGGACGGGCTAGTCGAGCTTGGACCAGGAGTGGCCGCCAATGAACGTCTGTCAATTCGGGCTACTCATTGGCCACCAAGTTTGGGCAAAGGTTGGCACCCCCTCGTTGACCAAGCATCGGCGGACAGTCTTCGTCCATGCTTGGTCCGACCCTGGTAACCAAGGCTTAAGATGCGCCATTGGCTGAAGACTGGCTTAATCATTGGTTAAATTATGGCTCACGCTTGTCTACCAACACTCGGCAAGTCGAGGTTGAGACAAGCTTGGGATGGTCGTTGAAGCTCGGCGTTTCTTGCCAGGGCACTAGGAATCGGACCGAAGGGAGCAATTCAACCGAGTATCAACTTTAATTGTTGAATCCAAATTTTTTTGGCAATACCAACCGCATGAAATTTATTTCGTTAGAATCATTGAAACCCTACGTTTCTTTAAAAAATTGAATATTATCATTTTTGAGAAGAAATCATTACTTATCGAAAGAAATTGGCAATCGGATACTCGGCGATTCAGCTATTGGGACTGAGTCAGGTACCGGGACATTTACCTTATGAATATTCAGTATCAAATTGCATTGAATTTTCAGTGAAATCTAAAATTTCATGATTTTTTCCTCCTAATTGCCATTCAGTGTCACTGCCCTGAAAATTCAAGAATACATTTACCTTCTATTTCTGGTTTTCTATTCATTTTCAGGGAAAAATGGAACGGAAATTTACAGTTCCGTTTGATTTTTCCACGAAATTCTAAATTTTCAATGACAAGATTTCCTGAAATTTCAGTAGAATTAAAACACGATAAAAATTTCTGGACTTTGGCATGGAAAACTCAGAAAAAAATTTGCAGTGTACTCCCCTAAAAACTTCAGCAACCATTCAACCTGATAAGAATTCAATAAACCAATAAACTCGACAACATCGAAGACTAATCAGATCATCAATGAACGGAAAAGAAGAGAACACTCACCACCAATTTAAATAAATCATAATGGTCCTAATCATAGATGACCTTAGAGTTCGTGCTACCCGTAGAGTCATCGATCTTAGCCCCCGAGTCGATGCTATGGCTACCATCGATCCAGGTTATACCTCAAGCACCTAAAGATTCTCATCTTTTTATAGGGAAAATGCAGCGTATAAATGGAAATGGAGGATAAAAACTGCTCGAGTGGATTACTGTGACGGTATCCAAAAATAAGAATCACCAGCGATGTGAATGATAACGTCATGGGGTGAGGGCATCAGTGTTGAGGTTCTGATAGAGAAGAGAGAGTTGAAAACTATGAGACAAAACCATGACGCAAGCGGTGGGAGGATCTTGCTTGGGGGGCTCGTTGGCTGGTGGTTGGTTGGCGTCGGTTAGTTTCACACAACCATGGACAGGTTTGTAGCCAAGCAACCGCGCAATGACCACAGTCTAGAGCGAAACACTAGCTGATACGGACGGTCTTGACCTTCCTCAATTATATTTCATTTTTTTACCCAGTAATGACATAAAAATTGAGGCATCAACAAATTACAGGTTTATTCAAGTGCTTTTGACAAATATTTCACTGATGTGTTTAGATAATAAAGGAAGAAATTGTTGGGTGAAATGTCACTGGTAGCCAGTGGGAGAAAAGTGTATTTTCCTCGGGGTATTAATGTGAACTTTGAAGGTGAACTAAAATAGTTTGATAGGATGCTTCAGAATTATGGTGTGCATTGTGTGGCAAGTTTACAAAGGTGCTAAATGGTTTTCTGAGAATCCACGCGGAGGTGAGAAATTTTTTTCTGAGGTAGAGTGATGACAAACATTGAATTAGAATTTTCGTACGGATTATTTACGAAAATCTCGGGGGGATTATTAATTTAGAGAAAAATGTTGAAAAACAATTTGTGTGATTGGTTGAATTTTTTTAGAAGATTCTATCATGAATGTCTCTAAACCTCTTCCTTTCCGAAATATTTGAAAAATAAGTAAAGGGATGATAGTAAAGGTGTAAATCCAAAAATTCCATACGGATTGAGCTGTAAATATTTACGAGATAGTAGGTTTGCAGGTAGATACTGGATTTTTTTTCATATATAACTAAATTTTGGGAAACTTTCGGAATAATTTTTATAAGCATCTCCCTATCAAAAATGTTATCGAAATGAATCATAGTTTATAAATAAACAAGCAAAATTAGCTTCCAGTCGGAAGCAAAAAAACAATGAAGTAATTTCTAAACTATTCATGTACTCTAATTCCAGAATATTTCTAAAAGTAGTGATTGTATACAAAAAAAAAGTGGAGGGTTTTTAATGAAGCTCGCCAGATTTTTTATGATATAGAGTTCTTTTGACCTTTTTCTCTAAATCTACTAACTTTGGAGATATTCGAGAAATAATCTTCCGATGCTTACCTGCGACTTTTTTTTCTAATAAATTCAAAAACTGGCACTGTCATTATCTTTGGTCATCGGTACTACTGTTAATGCGCTTAAAAACCGACGTGGCCAAAGTGATAAAGGAGTATAGAAGAGGGGGTAAGGAAAGAGGAACTGAAGAATGAGGGTTAAAAGTCGATGACAACTAGAGCCACTCAATTGTTAATTTATCTTCCATAAATATTACAATGAGAATTACCCTGTCAATTCTGGTGATTTGGGGTCATCCACGAATTTCACTCCCCTTTTTCCTGGAAACATAGACAAACAAACAAGATAATCAACATATAGTAAAAAATTTATTACAGAGCCCTGACGCAAATGACCAAAATAGGCGTTCGACTCTACTCATTTACTCAGTTGGACTCCAACCCTTGTTGAATTCACAACGAGCTCAACGGACTGAAAGTGAGACACGAGTAATCCTGAACGAGGAAAAGAAGTTTAGGGATAATCGTGAAGTTAAAATGTCAATGAGAAGAATAGCTGTTTTGGCAGCTGTACATTCCAGTCAACGAAACGATTCCAATGGTGCAAATTACGGGGGTTATTACACCCCTGGTTACAATATGTCCGGAAATGCCAGTGGAAAGACGGGAAGGTTCGACACCGATTTACATGGGAATGTTAACGTACTACTCGGAGGGTGTGTACAAATTCCTTGCATTTTTTTCGGTCTGTAAATGTGAAATTTTCGGAGATTTGACGATTACCTTGGATTTCGTTTTGCAAGGAGGCACTTGTCTACTAAAAGCTTTCCTGCATTTAAAAAAAAACCTTGATTTCAACTCAGTTTATCCCATTCACAAAGATGATAACATCGCAGTTTAACGCAAAGATCGCCGGAATTTCCAAAAAGGCACCGTTCGATTTGTGACTTTGCCGTCTTACCTCCTTAAAAAAAATCAATCATCGGAATAAATGAATCATTCTCAATATGAGTTATGGCGACTCGGAGTGTTTGTATTGTTATTATTTACTAGGGGGGCTTCGCCCCCTGCTCGCTTCGCTCCCCAAACCCCGGGGGGGCTTCGCCCCCCCCCGCTCGCTTCGCTCGCTCCCCCTCCTCACACTCGTGCCTAACTCCGATCCTTGAAATGTGCCATCAGATCCCAGTGTTATCGGACCCCCCTCCCATAGGAACTCCTAGGGCCACCTAGGAACCCCATAAGAACCCCATAAAAGCCCCATAGCGTACCCCACAGCAACCCTACAGCACCCCCATCGGACCCCATATCCACCCTATAGCAACCACATAGCAACCCCATAGCCATTTGATGGCAACCTCATAGGACCCCATAGTAACCCCATGGCAACCCCATAGCAACTCCGAGTCTTATGACTTCTTTGCCTTATGGCTCTCATGATTCTTATGACCTTTGCCTTATGGCCTTTAGTGGCCAATCACTCAACAATGACTGTCAGTCACTAAACAATGACTGGAAAAATTAGAAATGAATTATTTATCATTTAAATGACATGATTTTAAATGGATTATTAATGCAATAACATTGTTTTTATAGTGTTTGGGATTAGAAAAAGGGATTAAATGGATGAATGAAGGATTTTTTAACATTAAACCCCATAGCAACGCCATAGCAACGCCATAGCAACCTCATAGCAACCCCATATATGGGCCGGATCAAGCGTCGCCTGAACTTTGAGCGTCGCCTGAATTTTTGGGCTCATTTTTTTATTATATAGAGAGATTCATTTTGAGATTTACTGATTTTAAGAAGAACTATCACAACACCTCTAATTTGAAGATTTTTTCCGTTTTGAGTTACAAGAGAATCACCAATATAATGCAATTACATTATTTTGGACCGCCTGTTTGAAATGTTCACTTTTCAGCGGTGTACTGGGAATGAAGTTATCTTCCACACGACAAGTGTAAAGTTCAGAGGTCATATTCAAAGTAAATTCCAATAAGTAAAACAAAGCTCGATATTGAATGTCGCGAATTTCATGCAAAAAATTCGTTTAATCTCACTTTCACTGGCCGGTATTACAAATAGTATGTGTTACGCGTGCGTACGAAAACGTGCAATTTTACGCATTTGTAACATAATAGACAAATTTCTAAAACAACAAATTCTCCAGGTTTTTCCGTAATTAACCCGGCTGACCTGATTTTGGGAGCACCACGCGCGCCTTTTTCGGCTTTCGTCTCTTTTCAATGAAATGAGAGACAGCAAAAATTTGGAAAATCAAATGTCTAATGATTATTAGTCTTGTTTTGAGTGATCTATCATCATTCCTCTGGGAGAATGATGATAGATCATCGTTCTATCATCATGGCCCGCTGGGGGCAAGCAATGTACAGTGTATTTGCGCCCCAAAGAGCCCAAACGACTGTAACTGGTATCGACGTCCCTGAAAGAGGTAGGCAGGCGCATATGTGTTTTCAATATCGAGGGACCGAGGGTGAGCGGGCCCATAAACCCCATAACAAGTTATGATCGTTTTAGCAGCACTTTTTTGACGAATTTTCTCGATTTTTTTAAAAATCAACGGAGATTGTTTATTAGAAAAATATTGAACGAGTGTGTTTTACATTGAATTCAGAATGCATCTTTTTTTTTGAGGTCGGTTCGGTAATTCTACAACGAGATAACCGCAGTCGACATTTCTATTAATTAAATAAATAATTATTACAATATTGAGTTTTTTCTTCTCTCGTTGGCATCCCAAGGGTTCAACGAATCTCTGGGAAAATTGACGATTAAAAAAAAAATTTTTTCGTACGTATGGTAGCGGTTCAAAGTTTGCCGACTTTTACGGACCCTGAAAATCGGAGGTTTTTCGGCTTCTCACAGCGATTACAAATAAACTCATCAAATTGAAAACTTGAAACTTCGTATTGGGCGAGTGAAATACTTATATTACACAGTGCAATTGGTCCCATATTTTTACGATTTTTTTTCTCAGGTTATGCGCATATAACCCCAGGGTCCTCTACTTCTGAAACGGATAGTAAATGCGTTGTGTGCTCCAGAGGAGGAAGATGTAAAAATGATCAACTTATGATAATAATATATATTTCCCGTTATCCGATGAAAGCAGAACCCTTTTACCCTATAGGGCTATGAATTTTTGAAACAAGAAACAGAATAGACCTTTTTCAGAAACATAAATATAAGTGAATTGGAAGAACTGGATATGATCTATATTTTTTCGAATGTTATATTGTTATAAAGTTATTCATAACAATATGCCATGGCAAAAAGGTTTTTGAGAAGTACGTCTTTACTTGCATAAAAAACTGATGGTTTGAAAATTGACAAGAAGAAAATATCGCACACTGAGAAATGAAACTTGTTGTCAAGAGATTTTGTACTTGTCCGAAAGATAAGGGGCAATTTGCTCACAACAAGAAACCGACTTCTCAAAGCAAATCCAGTGGTTTTTGCATAAAAATATTTTGGATTTGAGACTTATAAATTATTGAATAAATTAATTCAACTAGACTTGGTTTGAAAAATCACTCCTGGTTAGAAACAAATTATCCTCGTCTTTGGGACAAATACAAAATTTCTTGATAAAAGTTTCTTCTTTCTCAGTGTGAGATATTCTCCTTTTGTCAATTTTCGAGAAATGAGTTTCTTGATATGAATGAAGACGTACTTATCAAAAAACTTTTTTTTGATCAGCGCACGTGCTCACTCTTTAGCCCATATCTCGAGAACGATTGGGCCGATTTTGAGGAGTCAAAAATCATTTTATTCGTGAGAGAATGAGATATAAGCTTCGTCGGAAACATTTTTCTGCATCTCTTGTGATTTTCACGTGAAATCATTTGTTCATTAACAATGAGTAATGATTTGTTTATAACAAATTATTGTGCAACAGGAGGAAAAAATAAAAAAAAGTCCTATTCCTTTACTCCAGAAAAGGTACAATTCAACAATAAAATTCGAACGAGTCCCTATCACTTTTCCCCTACACATCGATAGAAAAGATAGAACGATTTAGTTACTGTTAACGAGGCGTCTTAACTATTAATGCCATCTTTTAACTATTAACAAATCGTTTTATTAGTTAAGGAGCCTCGATAGCAGCAAATAATTCCTTCTATCAGTGTATAACATTTATTTGTGTACAGGGCGATGCTGAGTGGAGTAATCATAGTGGTAATCCTGGTTTGCTACTGCTGCCACAAAAACATGAGGAAGAATCGACCACATGAGTACTCCCCTTATTGGAGAGAGCCGGACGTCCAAAGTCTGGAGGTCTTCACCATGGATTCTCACGCAATGGGGCGTTTTTTGGGTGCTCAGCAGTGCTACGATCGAAGCGGCAACACGGAAGAGATTACGACAATGTCATTACCCTGTCCAGGAACACCAGGACCACCCCCAACTTACGAGAGTCTTATATTCAATCCACATAATAATGCTGCGTCACTGAGTGATAAGAAAGAGGAGCCCATTAGCACTCCTGATTTTATACTTCCGGTCTTTGGGAATCAAGGGGATTCCCAGGAACAGGAGAAAAAGGGGGAGGACGAGGGGTTGCCCTCTTACGAGGCTGCACTGAAGCTCGAAGCTAATGGCTATGTTTAATTATTAAAAATTGTTTGTTGAGGCAAGTTACGTGGTGAAGTAGTGAGACGAGATAAATTGATTTTGCAAAAGATCTAGCTTCTTCTGAATATCCTAAAATCTAAGAGAGACACAAATGTTTTTGTGAGTACTTTTTTCGTAGATCAGAGTGATATTCATTAGATTCACCCTTAGACTTGAAGATATTCATCAAAAATTCACATTGAAGTTGAGTTGACATATCTCGTCTTTCCATTTCAAAACTGATTCATCATTGAGCCTTTTACAGGTCTCTCTTTTTTACGCTTCTAGGTGTAAGTTATAAATCATTACGTTGTACATATATGGAGAGAGTGTTTCATTACAGATGTACTATTGAACGGGCTGTTTTATTTATTTATTTGTTTAAGTTTGAGATTAATTAATTGACAGAGTATTGTTAGAAGAAATTTAATGTTTTGTGTTGGAGATTTTAGTTAATTTATAATGAAATTGTAGTGAGTGAATTTTTGTACATAGATAAAGAATTTAATTATACAGTGTGTATTGAGGAATTTTATTTCAATTCTGAGGTAAAGAATGAATTTATCGAGGATAAAGTCAGTTTGCTAATTAGTGAATTATTTCAGTGAGGAATGGAGTTGCAAAAAAAAAATCCAAAAGAGTATTTGTAGAGAGGAGAAAAATTCTGAAGATGGTTTCACGACATTCTCTGGTCGAAATACTCAATTTCTAGTAAGGTGAATGTACCCTATTCTCGGCTCAACTCCTATTCCCGTTTTGACTCATGCCACGCAATTGTCTCCCCAATTATGTAACTGTGCATTTTTTGTTAATTTCATACCTATTGAGGAGATCTTATCAGTTTATTGAAGTGATTTACAGCAATAGTTAATACACGAATTGAACGAATCTGGATGGAAAGAAGGACAGGTTCCTTATCAAGACTTCAATGGGGACATTTACCTTAATCCTCTGATTTACCAAGATTTGATATTTTAATACATTCATTTTACCATTTCCCAAGGCAATTCTTATAAGAAATATATGTATTTTATTGCAACAATCTTTCCAACAATCCTTCTCAATTCAACTGTAAGGTTTCAGGTTAGTCTATTAATTTGTTGAAGCGGTAGAGGACGATGAGTTCGAACAATCCATACAGATACTTTTGTACATATCTTTGAATACCATAAGTTTAGAGAACAACATCGAAGAACCCTTTTAATCCATATAATCTTTTATAAGGAAGACCTTTTCATGATTTCTCGTAATATCAGATATTACTGACAGACTTCAATGAAAAATATAAAAAATTTGATAGTCAAGAAAGAGAACCGATCAAAAATGTCTTTTGAAAAGGTTCTTGAATCGTTTTAGTTTGAAGACACTAAAAATACACATATGAATAAAGTTAGCTGATTTCGAGAAATTGCATTCTATCAATATCTCTGATATCATGAGCTTAATAAAAAATTTCAAATGGATTTTCGTGTAGCCACACAAAGAATAGTAGATTTCATCATTGTAATTATTAAAAACTCGGATTAAAAACTCACATTCGTCAGAAAATAATTTGTGGGCCGTATGATGTAAACTAGTTTTAGACACTGCTGTTACGTTCACCTCGTACCGAAAAATGCATTTTCATTTAATCGTAAACGAAAAGTAAACGAAAAGACTTTTCGTTTACTTGTAAACGAAAAAGGCACAGTTTGGTCACTTTTTGAACGTAACATCACTGTCAAAAAATGTTCCACACATGTGAGACGAGAACTTTCAGCACTTGTGATTGGCAGCCTTCGCCAACGCCTCGGGCCGCCAACCTCACACTCGTGAAAATTCCGTCTCATTCGTATCGAAATATACCATGATGTTACGGGTCCGAAAGTCATATTATCAGGCCTAGTAAAATAAAAGAAGTGTCTAGTTTCTAGAAATAAGTTACTGATTTCAAAGTAACTTGTGGTTCAAGGAACCATTGTATTGAGGATAAGAAACTGGTTAATTAATTCCAGAAGAAATAACCTCACTTGTTTCGACAGTGACAGTCGACAATGTCAGTGGGTTTTATATTTTTTGGGTCGCTGATCACGAATCTGTCGGTTACTTTTCCGAAAAATTGGCCCTTCAATTGTTATTAACAATTTTAATTGTTTAAAAAGCTTTATCTCAGAAACTATGATAGGTATGAGAAAAAGTTTCAAACAAAAGATGTTTGACATGTAAAAATATCGGGGTACTCGATGCAGATAGAGAAAAATAGTTGAAATGAAAAATATTTGCCATCAAATTTTCCATATAATTAATGGTTTCACATTTTTTCCTACAACTAGTAGTTGACGAGATATTAACGCTATCATGCTGCGTGATCGGGGAAATTACCTACAACGCTTTTGTTTACTGCTGTTTTACGAATAAACGATTCGAGATACAGGAAAAAATGTCGCATAAAAATTGGTCCCCATAAAAAATACACACATTTGAGTTCTACATAATCGTAGTAACATTTTTTGTCTAAACATTTTCCCGATGTCTGTCATAGTTTTCCAGATAAGGCCTTGTAAACAATTAAAATTGTTAATAACAATTGGCGGGACAATTTTTCGCAAAAATAACCGAGTGCCCCCCGCTCCGCTGCCACCCCCGATAACGCCGTATCTATCATAGTTAGGGGAAAAAGGTATAGAACAAAAAATGAGTATTTTTACATGTTAAACATCTTTTGTTTGAAACTTTTTCTCATACCTTGTTAATAACAATTGAAGGGACAATTTTTCGGAAAAGTAACCGACAGATTCGTGATAAGTGATCCAAAAAACATAAAACCCACTGACATTATCGACGCGACGTAACAGTTTATACAGGACTGTCGTGGGCATAAGGACTAAAATCAAGAACTGTTGAGTTCTTAAATCAAAAACCGTTGCATTCTTCAACTAGGAAATTTCGAAAGAGATAGGGTTCCACAATGAGTTGACATTAATTGAGTCACGATGTCAGGTGATATACTTTGGATAGTAAAAGATCTACAGAAATAAGTAAATTAATATTAGGACAGGAAAAATCATTAATTTAACGACGAAAATTTTCCGATCATGGGGATCCGGATGTTCTTGATTTAAGGTTCTTCTTTTAAGAACCCAAACGTTCTGAATTTCAGAACCAAGACTTTCTTCAAATAAGAGACAATATACTTAATTTAAGTACAATTATGCTCCAGTCAAGTGAAAATTAATGAGACTTGGGGAATTTTTTTTTGAAATAAGGGATTTCAAGAAAATCACTTATCAAGTTGACATATTTCTAGCATTTTTTGCTTGCTAGATTTCAGTACAACAGAGTTCTGAAATTCAGAGATTTTTACTGGAAACAAGAAACCTCTCTTCCTATAAAAAAAGTTCTTTTGATGGATTCCTCTAAACTTCTTCATTCCAAAGATGTTAAGCAATTTATTTACGGAATTATTTCGAACTTATCTCCTGTCCTTTACCATCTCAGTCTGAACAGTCAGTGAAGTAGACAACTCCAAAAATACAAGTGAAAGCGATAAGATAAATACGGAATTCTGTGAATGAAAGAGTCACATAGGAAATGATCTATAAAGAGTGGCGCGTGGATCCATCTGTATATATTGGCAATCTGAAACGCATGTTAAAAACAACTTTATCAGTAAGACTATTTAAACATCCACACGATCCTTTTGCATGTCAATGTTACTGGAGCAAGTACAGGGGTCATTGAAGCTCATTGTGATAATAAGAGCAGGGAGCTGAGTCATTTATCACTGACAATTGTCAATTCCTACCCGATCGCTCCCGAGTGAGCTCATCACAGAGACGCTTATTTATCTCTCAATTGGAATGTGAGGAGTGCACAGATAGAGGCATTCAAAATAATTGAAGCAGAATTCAATTGTTCATTACGTAAAGTACATTTTTTCTTACTTTATTCATTCGTTTTCATTTTTATGGAAAAATGTTTTTAGGTAAAATTTCACGAGATATTTCTCGAAGGAGGAAGAATTTCAATCAGAAAAACGGTTCCTCTATTCGGAGAATGTTCATTATCGGGATAATTGACTGATTATCAGGAATCCATCGCATATGAAACTTCTATCAATTACTATGCTCCAAATATATTTATTAAACTAAAAAAAAAACAATTTCAGGGAAAAATGTTAAAAGATCATTCCTGTACAATAGTAAATTTTCCATGCAGAAACTCCGTTGACATTTTTCCTTATCATCACTCATTCTCTATATTTTCATAATTAATGATCCATTCATAAATAGTTGATATTCAATAATTACATAATTATCTCGATAAAGAGTGATTTTATAAAATAAACCGTCAAATTATTTTTTTGGAAGGAAATTTTCATCTATAAGAAAGCTTTCTTGGTATCACTACCGAATAACACTCACTGTCAAAGTTGTTAACAATCACCGTAAAGCTGCTCATAATCAATGACAGAGAATTGAGTAATGCACTACTGAATATTGTCAATGAGTAATCGATCACTCGCGCAAATGAACTAGTTACAAAGACCCTCATTCATTCTTCAATTCACATCCGATAACGGTAACGTGACAATGATAACAATGAACACATAATTCACTCGTTCATTGTGTAAAATTCTTCACAGTTTTTTTTGTTTCATTTTTGTTCAAGAAACATTAAAACCCAAATGGACAGAATATTTGTGTCCAGGGCGCAAGTGCACTTGATTGGCCAGTCATTCGGCCAGGCCTTATATATAAATAAACCTCTGCTCAATCCCAAATTACTTGACCGCGTAATTATTTTCCATCCCATTCTTCTCAGCAGAAAAATAAAACAAGAAAAAACAGGAATAAAAAATTTCTGACGTCAACCGAATTAACTAATGACCGTTTTCCATTTTTGCTTCCAAATGGAAGCTTTGTAATCGTTCAAATTCAAGTTTTGGATTATTTATGTTATATAGAACCAGTAGGATCCAAAAAGTTCGGAAATGCCATTTCTAGAGCTCGCCCGTACGTGTGTGTGCATGGCTATGTATGTAACAAAGTTTATGTCATTAGGCCCGATAGACCGCGATTCTAACCTCGCTTCGCTCGGTTTGATCGCGGTTTTCGGGCCCAATGACATAAAATATCGTTTATGCTACGTTGTGCGATAAGTCAAGTTTGAAGCACGCTGCGCTTCGCGCAGCCTGCTCGCAGCTCGACTACCGCACGAGGTGGTGGCATATAGTATTTTAGACCACAAGGGCATGAATTTCGTTTTTGATGCATGTGAAATTTAAAGGCCGAGCCGAAGGCGAGGTCTGTACTCACGTTCGTTGAAAACGAAATTTATGCCCGAGTGGTCTATACTATTTTATGTTACATCGCGCGATAGTGGAATTTAGAGCACGCTGCGCTACGCGCAGCGTGCTTTAAACTTGACTACGGACTACGGTCCGTAGTGCAAACTTGATTATCGTACGGTGTGACATAAAAACAGTATGGA